CGGGACGGCGGGGTGTGCAGGGCCCTGCCCGTGCTCGACCCAAGGCCCGGGGCTTCGTCCCGGAGCGGGAGCAGCGCCCAGGCCCTCGGAGCGCGCAGCCCCGGGCACCGCCCGCGTCCCCTGTCGCCACTCCCAGCTCCTGGAAGGTGACGGGCGTCTCCTGCGGAACCACCCTATTTGGCTCGCGTAGAACCAGAGCTTCTGGCCGGAATTCCGGCCTTCTCTGCTTGTCCACACTTTTGGGAAAAGGGTCATTCTTGGAGGGGCGAGAACGGACCGAGAGGCGAATTCGAGAAATCTCACCCTCCACATTTTCGGGTGCTGAGACGTCTCCTTGAGTCTGCACCTCTACGCGCCCCGCACACTCCCATCCCGGCCCTCTCCTGGTTTTGGCGACCGCCTCTACTCCTGCAGACTGGCCAGGACTCAGCCCATCTTCTGAGACCCAGGCTTGGCCGCGAGGCTGAGCTGACGCTTCGGGAGCCCCTCTGCGCCCCGGCCTGTCGACTCCGTGGCAGTCAAGTTTCCGGACTCAGGACCCGGAGTGGCCACGGCGTGGTGGAAACTTTTGCTGGAAGGTGGCCCAGCGCTTTCGGTTCATTCACCCTTACCTGGGTGCAGCCATCGGCTAAGACCACAGCTCGGCATCTCCTTGAAAGCAAAGTCAACAAATCCTTGTGGACTCAACTTCTACCCAGTCCTACTGCTGAACCCCAAATCGTGCGCAAAACCTACTTCCCCCTAGAACAAAGGGAGAGGGGAAGAAGAATCAAACTGAATTCTGATGATGAAGTATTCGAGTTGGCTTTACATCTCCTTTATAATAGACCTTTTCTTTTAAATATGCGTGTGCTTTTAAATGCCTAAAAGACTAATTAAATAAAGAACATGTTGACCTCGCTGGGTTGAGGCCCAGTTTCTGAGTCAGATTATATAACCCTGCTGCACCGGGAATTCTCCAGCAATGAGGCTCTCAGCCGACAAAAAATCAAAAAAAAAAAAAAAAAAAAAAAAAAAAAAAGCAAGCCACTGAATCCAGTGAAATGAAACCAGAAGAGTTAAAGCTGAAATCTAAATCCAAATATCCTGCTTAAGGAAACTTACCTGTCAGGACGAAATCTCCAATGACAATTTTTTATTTTTTTCTCTGGGGGAGGGGGTGGTGGAGGGACGGTAGAGTAACATTCCCAAACGAGTAGTGGACACTGGGAAAATATCTAAGGCCTCCACATTTCGAACTGAAAAGAAACGTAGGCCCATGCAAACCCGTTTCCGTTACACCTTTTACAATTTCTTATTTAGAGAGAGATACTTGCTCACATACACAATTTACTGGTGCCTGGGGAAATGTTAAAATACATTTAGGGGCCTGACTAAGTAGAAATACACTCTAAAAACACAGACACAGTATGTTGCTTTATCTGTTGCAAAAAAATGTATTTGATTACTTGAGTAAAATTACAGTATCTCTGTTGTTAGTATTAAATGTTAAAGAAATTGGACCCCCCCTTCCTTTCAACTTTCCAAGAAAGTGCATGTAACAGTCCAATTTTTTTTTCTTCCATACCTAATACAAAATAAACAAACACTATACCTGCTCTCTTGATCAAGAAGAACCATCTGCTCTTGTAAGGAACGTATGTACATTTTAATGAAAGTGATATTTCTTATTGTATATACAAGAGCATCTACATTTTCTCCACTGAAGGTTGTTCAAGATGCTATACTTAGCAGCATTGTGAAATTCCAGCACACATTTTCTATTGTGAATATACCTACAAGGCAAAATGTTACGTCTCAGTTTCAACTACCAAAACAACACTTGTTTTTTTTTCTCTCTAAAGAATTCTGCGTGCTTATTACTGTACAGAAACTTATTAACATTGAACGACTCAAGTAAAAAGCACAATACAAATAGCAGTTTCAAAACGGAAATGGTTAAATCTACAAAACAAAAAAGCAGGTTGAATTTTAGAATAAAAATGAAAAACAAAAACCCAAACCTTTCAAAGAACCACACTATTCAGTCTGTACTTTCAGTCCTTTCCTTAAATCTGTTTTGAAAGATTAGACAATGTGTTTGCTGATAAAATTTTCCAGCAGGATCAAAGTGTACATTTATATACAGACTTTATTAGAGATCTAATGCATCACGGAGGCATTGCATCAACACCAGATTCATATTAAACTGGATATAGAAAATAAGTTAATGCCAGATTAAGACCGCCTAGCAGGGCAACTTGCAATTGCCATAAATGTTACAGCAAGTTTACAGCACTCTAGTCAATTAGTATTTAGTCCAAAATACAGAAGACCAAAGTTAACGCTTGCATTCTGTTTGCAAAGCAAGGTTATATCACTAATAAATAAGCTTTCTTAGAACTCTAGAAGTTGAACAAAGTACAAAAGAACGTCTTCATAACGTTGGAGTTCATAGACCTGGGGGACCAGAAGGTAGGGGACAGCACAGGAGTAGGAGGCAACCTAGGTGCATTCTGAACAGGAATGCTATGTCTCAAGTGTGTGGCTGCTCTAACTTGTCACGATCTCTTTGCTGTCCTCCACGAAGCGGGTGAAGCGGAAGTTGGTTCCGTTCTCACTGCTTGCCATTTTCTCGAGGCCGGCCAGAGGAGCACTGGGCTCTGAGTTCTGGAGCTTCTCCAGGTTTCCCGTCAGCCCACTAATAGGTGAGCTGCTCCCGCTGCCTAGGCTTCCAGGAATTGGAGGGATGCCACCATTCTGAATGACAGAGATCTCGTTGGCCTTCATTGCCAGCCCATTGGAGAGCGCTGCTGCATACTGATTCCAGAAACTGGAAGGATCTCCACTTCCTGATCTCACCGCCAAATCCTTCTGGAACATTTCTGGGAACTTGACAGGATTGCCTCCTAGAAATGTCATGGGACCATCCACGGAGAGCCGGCGGCCCCGGCGTGCAGGGGTGCTATTCCACATGTGGGTGCCCATGTGTACCTGAGGTCGGGGGGGGGGGATAAAAGAAAGGGGGGAAAAAACAAGACAGGAGCTTAATAGTTGAACGTCTCAACCCATATCCTAACACTCCACAAGGCTAGTGGCCCAAATGTCTATTCTTATTATGTGACAGACAGGGGAAAAGGTAAGGGGAACCATCCACTCCTGTGGATTAGTAATAACCTGTTCGTTCTTTGCAGCCCTGGGCCGTCTCTCTTCTTCCCAGGCAAAGATGCCTTACTTACTCTTTTTTTATTACTCATATTTAGCTTATAATGGCCTCAAGCAAGCTAGTCAGTTGCAGATAGCTCCTTTCAGGGTTAGAATTGTTATGTCCACTCTCATTGCAGTGGTGAGTATTGTATCTGACACCCTTTACCCTATAAATGTCCTTTGCAGACAGGAAGAAAGTACCCCTCACTGATTGCCCGTTGGAGGGCCTGCGTAAGGAGAGAAAAGCCAGAAAGTAATTATTCATCTCACATTACTGGCAGCAATCTCCAGAGAAATACTCTGTCAACAGAAAAATGTACACAGTAAGAGCGCTCAACCACCGCTCTAGAACGTAAGCATGTTTGCTTTATTTCCAACACGTATCAGTAGGAAATGTTGTATAATCAATTATCATAATACCCATTAGCAGAGCAGTGACGTTATTATTTCTAGAAAAATAAACCATGTTGGACTGCATAGTTATGAAAAATTGCCGTGCACGCCACAATTATTAAGCGATATGGCAGCACACAGGCCACGTGGATGTCTTTAATCAATACCCTATGGCAATGCCAGGCTGTCTTATTTGGTAGGTAAAGCAATTCATTTGGTGCACTTAGTGAGACGAAAGAGAGGGGCCGCTGCTTCGCTTAGGCACCAAATCACTCAAGATGCTCTGACGTGCAGCCAGCTGCAGGCCACTCTCTCCTGCCTTCCACGATCCTGACTCTCACAGGCACCCTCACTTCTCCCGGGTCAGCCATGTGCAGCCTTGCTCTCTGGAGACCCCTGTCTCTGAGTATGTGAGTGGCTGACTCCTGAAACATGCACTTCAGATAATCATTGGCCACTGAAGGGGCTGATAGGGCGGGTGAGGTACAGATGGAACAGGTACCTTAAGATTGCCTTTTGTTGTGAACGCTCTTCCACAAATAGTGCAAGCAAAGGGCTTCTCTCCAGTGTGAGTTCTCTCGTGGATCTGAAGGGCACTCGATGAGGAGAAGGTTTTGCCACATGTGTTGCAATAGTGCTGTTTGGGAGTTCTCCGGGGCAGAGCTGGGAGCAGGACCGGGGATGTGGCAGAGGATGACAGAGGCCCAGGAGGGATGTGACCAGTGGGGGTGTCCTTACTGTCCTGAGGAGAAACATGCACAAAGCCGTTGACCTCTGTTTTGATGAGAGACGACAAGGAGTTGGCGGGGATCACCGCGGAGTTCTGATTAGGGCCAAGGTTGGAACTGGGCTCAAAGAGCTGTGATGGTAGATCTCGCATCTGATGTGTCAACATGTGCTGTTTCAAATTACCCTTTGTGGAAAAGCCACGATTGCAAACTGTGCAAATAAATGGTCTCTCTTTGGTATGACTTCTATAGTGAATGTCCAAGGCACTCTGACAAGCAAAGGTTTTGCCACAAATGTCGCAAGCAGTATTTTTAAATTTACCCCGGTCTCTGAAAGGGAAGAGGATTCCCAAAGAATCCTCTTTGATGATTTTCTCTGCATGACTAGATGTCAAATCCAAAGCCCCCCCATTCACTGGGGTGGGAGACAAACCATTGGCAAACTCGCTTGGTCCCGCTCTCGGTGGCTTCTCCTCCATGCTGGGTGACTTGTGGAATTCCTGGGTGCTGTTGGATGGGGACAGAGCCTGCATGGAAGAGGTAGACTCTGAGATGGCCGGGCTGCCGGCACTTTGGCTTTCCATGTCGCCACCCACTGAAGATGAATCATTGGTCAGCACATCCCCTTCGACGGACCCGTTCTCCACAGACTTCAGGCTGGCTTGAAGCTGCTCTGCCAGGCCAGCATTGATCATCTTCATCTGATTTTCCAAAGCAGCAATGCTGGATATCTCGAGGGGCAAAGGTGAAGAAGACAAGCTGTCTTGCGACGCATCCACTGACTTGGGTGTATCTGGGATGCTGCCTTCAGGACAGTCTTCCATGTTTTCATCGGAGAAGTTGTCTAGGTCATCAAAATTTTTCTCATCAAAGGAGCCTGTGTCAGACTCCATAGATTCGGGGTAGCTGTCAGGGACAGGGGTGTTGGGGATCTGGCCTCCCATATGCATCCGGATGTGTTGCTGAAGGACAACGGCATTTGTGAACTTCTTCTGGCAAATGGGACAGGAATGCTGGACTCTGAGTGGGGGCATGGCCCGGTGAACACTGTAGTGGGTTTTAAGATTCCCTTTTGTGGTAAAAGCTCGGCCACAGATCTTGCACTTAAAGGGCCTCTCCCCAGTGTGTGTCCGGTAGTGCATTTTCAAGGCGCTCTGACAGCTCAGGACCCGGTGGCAGATGATACACTCATTGGGGTCAGTGGCCTTTTTGTCAATGTTTTCTACCAGTTGCTGCAGCTTGGATGTCTCTGATGCCTGGGCTGAGTCCAAGAGTCCCCCAAAAGGAAACTTGGCCTTAAACTGCTCAGACATGAGTGGCAATAAAGGGTTGGTGAAGGTGGCAGCACCTCCCGGACCACAGTCAGCTGCTGGAGAGCTCAGGGTGCTGCTGCTTGCTGTTGGAACTGAATTGGTGGCCACGTTACTCTCCTCGCTTTTGCCACCTAAGGGTGGCAGAGTGGACATATCTGCTTCCTCAGGGAGCCCACCCAGGTTTCTCGTGGCTGGATCCGGGACCCCAGAGTCACTTTTGACTGAGCTGGGGGGGCTGGCAGCAGAATGGCTGATGGGGATGGGGGCTGGTTCTT